ATAAAAATAATACAAGAAAAAATATGTACAGCATTTTTCACACGTTCTGCAACAAGAAAAATATAAAAGATGGTTCTTACTTCCCTGATTTTCAGTTTCATTTGACACCTTTCATTTGTTGTGGGTTTTTTTTCTAGTTTCAGTATCATTTGATAAAAAAATAAGTCAGGACTATATTAACAGATTGTAATGCAGATTTTCAGGCTAGTAGTTTTACACTGGTTGCGTTTATGGTGCTAGAAAGTACTTAAAAGTACACCTCCATGAGTGCTGTGTAGTATTTCTATTTAATGCTTCTTTATACCTAATCTAGACTACATTTTTCTGACAATTTAGGATTTTATAACATTTTTGTTTGTAGTTGAGGCCCTCTATCTCACACAGGAGTCTACATTTTTCAGATGGTCTCATTTAAACAGCTTTAAATGTCAAGAATTTCACAGTCAAATCAAAAATGACCAAAAAAATAATTTATTTATAAAAAAAAAATTGAACTTTGTTTATTCTTCTTTCCATTATCTTTTAATCACCTTATGGCCACTTACATATTCAGTTGAAACCAGACTTTTACATACACTGTATTGTGACGGCCCCCAGGTTTGGCCCTATTTGTGTCTCCTGTTGCTTGTTTTTTCCCTTTCGTTTCAGGAGGCTGATGGGTGGAGTTGAGGCATCTGCGGTGATGCTGCACACCTGAGTAGGAGGGACTCAGAGCTTGTGGAAGGAAACCCAAAACATTTGACCCAAGTCATGCAGTTTAAAGGCAATACAGGGCATGTAAACTTCTGGCTTCAACTGTAACACTGGAACTTTGTTTATTCTTCTTTTCATTATCTAATAATCACTTCATGACCACTTGCATATATCCTGTGACCCTCTGGAGGGGTCACAGGCCATCATTTAATGTGTAAATACCTAAACCTAGGCTCCATTTGAGCAGTTATATCAGTAAAATGCTGCTTATGAAGTTAAAGATATCAGTAAAACATGAATCTTTAAGAATATTTTGCTAATATTACTTAAGTAGGATTATGTATGCAGGTTTTACTGCTAATGGAATATTTTCAAACTGTTGTATTGGTACTTCTTCCACTTCCTGCTAATTTGTGATTCACAATATATGAGTTTTTACTGTATTAATATTAAGTGTTATTTAGATAGATAACGTTATTGATAGATAACTTTATTGTCATTGCAGCACACATGCATTAAAAACAGTGCACTTGAACGAAATTTCGTTGCATTCTCTCAGCGATAGTTTAAAAAATACAAATATTAAAGTGCTTTCGAGTGCACACAATTTTAAAAAAAGATCTATAACAAACTTTTGAAACTACTGATCAAAACATCAGCGTTTTCCTTTCAGTTCCGTTTCCATGTAAACAGCCCTGGTTTGACCTGACATCATGAGGTGAGCAGTTAAAGTCCCCTTTACTGCTCTTATCGCTCAGGTTTGCATCAACAGCTGATTCTGTCTCTGCTGCAGCTGAACCTGTTTGGTTATAAATTCACTCACAGTGGGGAGTGTTTGAAGTAATAAAAACATTACAGGCATGCAGCAGAGTCATGTTGGGAGAATGGAAACCGAAAATTATGAAGGCAGAGA